GAAAGAGAGATCTTATTTTGGTATTTATAGACTTATGAGAGGAAAAGCAAACATTGCCAAGAGAAGAATGTAACACATCCGGGGGAGTGACCTGTAGTGGAGCACTGTGGGAGCATCTGTGTAACATGGACAGACCAGGTGGGATGGCATCGAACACTATTGAGAATTCTTTAGGCGTTATATTAGTATTAGTAAATGCAGATGAACGCGCTGGTGGCTCTGACATCATCACGCAGTAATTTGCAGATAAAAATCTGACGCAGGGCGCCTCCGGTCCAGCAGGGGGCGGGGCAGAGCCGCGGTGACGTCGTCAGAGGAAGAGGAGGAGGTTTGTGTTGCCAGCCTGGCTGTGAGGATCGCTGAGACGAGTCTGCTCTGAAGCTGTTCTCGGACGCAAACTCGGTGAGAGCAGAAACCCTCGGTCCTCACCGGAAGCTGACTGAGGTTATCCAGAAACTTCTACGGTTCCGACTCTTTACTCTGACCTGAACAGAGACAGTCTGTCTGCCAGCGAGACTGCGCACAGGTGAGCCCAGCACAGGTGAGTCATAGTAAAAGGGGCTTTGGTGGGTTTGTGTGGTCATAAAAGTGGCGTGACCGGCCTCACTTCCGGTCACGTACTGTCTCAGAGCTGCTCCAAACACTCCGTTTACCACAGCCTTCCACACTCTGGGACCTGTGTGACGTCACAAAGCTGCACCGCTGCAGGTGTGTCAGGTGTTCAGTGAGCTGAGACTCAGTCAAAGAAGGCTGACTGTGAGTGAATCATGCAAAGCTGCTTCTGCCTCGTTCAGGGTCTCACCCTCACCTTCCAGAGACTTTCTGGTGATCTTTGGCCCCAGCTGCAGTGCCCTCCAGGTGAACTTTGACCTGTTGAGAGGCGCAGAAGGGCAGATGGAGCTCTTTAAGCAGAAGTGTCCAGTCACAGGAAGTGGCGTCTGGTTTCTTGGCTGTCTGGTTTGGGACTTCCTGTCACTGGGCCAGAGTGTGTGTGTGTGTGTGTGTGTGTGTGGTCACAGCTCTGGTGTGTTTCATGCTCTTCAGCACGAGGTCAGGACTCTTCTTTGTCCTCTCCTGGCTCCGCTTCAGTGTCACTCACAGGCCCAGGATGACGGCTTCCCCCTCAGCAGCACCGACGCCACGTTTCAGCTTCAGACACGTCACTGCTTCAACCTGTGACGGGAGACAGAGCGTGCGTGTGGGCGTGTTTTGATGTTTTTGTGTGCTTGTGGTTGTTGTGAGTGTGCTGAGCGCTCTGACTTCAGTATCAGTACCTGTAACGCTTCAACGTCTGGCGTTGGTGTGATGTCAGCACTGACGCCTGGTTTCTGCCCGTGTGTGCAGGTACGATGGCGCTCTGTGGGTGGTGGTTAATCCACTTCCTCGTCTTCACTTCTTGCTCAGCTCACGACTTCTTCACCTCCATCGGTGAGTTTGGCCGCTCTGTATCGTAGCGTGGAGTCCTGCTGAGCGCGTGTGTGAGCGCTAATTTGTTCTTTGTCACAGGTCACATGACGGACCTGCTGTTCACGGAGAAGGACCTGGTCACCTCCCTGAAGGACTACATCCGAGCGGAGGAGAGCAAACTGGAGCAGATCAAAAAGTGAGTGTCGCTGCTCGCCGTTAAACGCCCCGCCTCCTGTTATCCTGGAACAGAACCTCAAGTTTGTTGGGGGGGGGGCAGCTAACTAGGTTTACATTGCTGTCATGATCTGCGACACACTCTTACCTGTGCCGTGTGTGTTCAGGTGGGCAGACAAACTGGACGTCCTCTCGGCAGCTGCCACTCAGGACCCCGAAGGCTTCCTGGGTCACCCGGTGAACGCCTTCAAGCTGATGAAGAGGCTGAACACGGAGTGGGGGGAGCTGGAGAGCCTGGTGCTCACTGACGTGTCTGATGGTGCGACGCAGAAATCAGCTGTTGGACGTTAGGACACAGAATCTTTTTTCCTTGTTTTCATTGTCCTCCTCCTTCTTCTTCTGTGGTGTTTCAGTGTTCATCTCCAACCTCACCATCCAGAGGCAGTACTTCCCCAACGACGACGACCAGACCGGCGCTGCCAAAGCTCTGATGAGACTGCAGGACACCTACCAGCTGGACACCAACGCCATCTCCACCGGAGAGCTCCCAGGTCTGTGAACCGGGACCTGCTCTGCTTTACAGGGCAGAGCGGGCTCTTCAGTCCGAGTTTAGAGAAGACGGCGCTCAGGAGGAAAAGGACCACAAATGTTTCTGAGCTCTCGGTCGTGTGTCTGAAAGTCATTTACACGATTCAACCTTCCAGCTCGCGCTTTAATAACAGGAACATGAGTTGTAAATGCTCCTGCTCTCTCTCGTCTCCTCAGGATCGTCCTCCACCTCCTCCGCCTGGAGCACTCTGACCGTGGATGACTGCTACGACCTCGGGAAGGTGGCGTACTCGGAGGCGGATTACTACCACACCGAGCTGTGGATGGCTCAGGCCCTGAGGCAGCTGGACCAGGGCGAGACGTCCCGCGCCGTGGACGCCGTCACCATCCTCGACTACCTGAGCTACTCCGTGTACCAGCAGGGGGAGCTGGAGAGAGCGCTGGAGTTCACCAGGAGGCTGCTGGACCTGGGTTAGTACCTGCAGATGGGCAGTTCAGTCAGCAAATGTGCTGCCGTTGTTTTAAAGAGTTAGAAAAAGGAGCAACGCTGAGTTTCCAGAGAGTCGAAGGCTTCTTCTCACATCTTCAGAGCTTGTGTGCAGATTTGTTGATCTCGCTCACCTGAAGTTGTTTTTCTGCCCGTTAGATCCGACACACCAGCGAGCCAACGGGAACCTGAAATACTTTGAGTACCAGCTGGCCAAACAGAAGAAGGTGGAGAAGGTGGAGGAGAAGGAGGAGGAAAGCAAGGTGAGGCAGAGGAGGGAGAGCAAAGACGACTACCTGCCTGAGAGGAAGAAGTACGAGCAGCTGTGTCGCGGCCAAGGCATCAAGCTGGTGAGGCGAGCGAAACAAGCGCACCTCTGAGAGTCGTTTATCGGCGTCACTTCAACCTCTGCTTCCTGTCAGACTCCCCGCAGGCAGAGCCGCCTCTTCTGCCGCTACTATGACAACAACCGGCACCCGCGGTACGTGATTGGCCCGGTGCAGCAGGAGGACGAGTGGGACAGCCCGCACATCGTGCGCTACCACAACATCGTGTCGGAGAAAGACATGGAGAAGGTGAAAGAGCTGGCCAAGCCCAGGGTGAGTCCGAGCATCTTTATCTCACGCGCTGCTGCAGAGCTTATCCCAGGTCGGACGCCATTAGTGCTTTACCAACGCAAGGGGCGGGGCTAAATATCAGTATTCAGAAATATTGCTCCCCGTTAAGTCGCTGTATATTAAAATTTTTATGAAAACATGTTTATGATTACTTATCAAAGGATGGAGAGGAAATGACCTCGAAGAAGAAACTCGCAGAAGTGTCGGAAAACTAATCGAGAGCAGTCGGGATGTTAAAAACTGGACAAGAGTCATGATGAGAACATGACTGCTGCCTGATGTGTCGCCGCGACTCTAAACTGTCAGTTTTAGTTTTTGTGGCTGACTGTCGGCTCGCGGTTACGTCGGCTCGCGGTTACGTCGGCTCGCTGCTCGACTGCCGATCGGTCGTGTTGATGTTCGGTTCACGGTTTACAGCAAAGAAGAGCAGCGCGAGCACTTTCAGCTCAAACACCCAGAAACTCAGGTCAATCGTGTGGATGCACAAAATTTACCTCGGCAACAGTGAATGCTGTTATCTGATTGGCTGCTAGGTCATTAAGCCGCGATGAGCTCTGTAGAGAAATGAAATATATGATATTGAAATTAGAACGAATCCCCGTTCACACCTCAGTGCAGCGTTCATCCATCATCACAAACTGCTTCCTGTTGGCCGGCGGCGTCCTGTCAGCGAGCGGCAACTGCTCATTTTTAACTTGTAACCCCGTGACACGGGTGCTGTCAATCATTAATCTATGCCCCGCCCCTACCTCTTGATACACGCCCACAAAATCAGGATCAAACGTCTAAAACTGAAACAATTAATTTAAAGCCAGAAAAAAATATTTGCATGAAAACAAAAAAATTATTTAAAGTAAAAAATTTCGTTTATTTTTCAAACACATCAAAAACAAAACTGTAGTTTGAGCCTCGTCAGTGAGCGAGGAAGAAAGGTGACGGGCGGGCGGTGGGTGGAGAGGATCACGAGGTTGTGCGGCTGTGTGGTGCGGCTCCTCCGTCGGTGTCGGTCGGCGTTAGTCGGTGCTCCGGGCGTCGCTCTGTGTCTGCCTGTAACTGTCGGCCGATTGGCTCCACAGCTCCGTCGAGCCACCATCTCTAACCCCGTCACCGGCGTGCTGGAGACGGCCCACTACCGCATCAGTAAGAGGTAAGAGCTGCTGGGGCAGGAGGCGGCGTCCGCGGGGTGGACCTCACCTCTCTGCCCCCAACACCAACCTGTCCTCCCCCCTCTGTGATAGCGGCCGTCCCGGTGAGAGCAGAAAAGGCAACGAGTCGCTTCAAACAAACGAATAATTAAAATGTTCCTTCCTCCAAAGTGGAATTCTCATTTAAACGTCACAGAAGAATCGGCATTATTATTACAGACGTCCAGCCTCCGGTCATCACAGCTGACGCTCCCCAACAGTCTGAAACATAAAAGACTTCAGTTTTATAAAATCCAGTTTTCACACATTCAGCTTGAAAGAAACGTTTAAACGTCCATGACGGGCTGTAAGCTCTGAAACATCTCCATAAACTTGTAGTTTCACGTTGTTGCTGCTGAGAAATGGTTAATAATAATAAAGCAGATGTTCATGAGCAGCTGTTTTACCGCTGTCCTCCCACCAGGGGGCGCTGCAGCACAGAGAGACAGCTGTCATCAGCTCAATCAGTCCCACCTGGGCAGGTGTAAAAGGCCACATCAGAGGTCCTGTAACGCTGCAGGAACAGTTGCTTTGAGCGTCTTCTTTCAGGCTCTGCTCTCGCTGGGATTCGAGCCTCGGCTTGTTTTCTTTGCTCGTTCGGGGACAGGAAGTCAAACATTTAAGACTCTCGATGTCGCTTTAACGTTTTCGTGGAGGCAGCAGGAGGATTCGTGTCTCATACCTGTGCTTCTCACTGTTACCTGCACATTGTTACGTAAAATAACAAGAGTCTGCAAACGTTTCAAAATAAAGTTCTGAAGTCAGACAGTCTGTTGACCTGTCAGTGCGTCAGCTTCACGGAAATACTCTCTACAGTAGTTACTGTAAAACTGCAGGTACTGCAATGTTACTGCGTGTTTAGTGTATGATGCTGGTGTAGTGACTTCATAAGTGAAACATCAACTGAGATTATTTTCAGTTTCAATTATGGCAGAATATCGATCCCATAACCTTCTGTTTGTGAGGGGCAGCCAATCAGAGGAAAGTTGTCTGAAGGAGGGAGGAGCTAAAGCAGCTTGTCAAACATCCTGAAGGTTGACCACGTGCACGCCATGTCCTCTTCATTAGGTACCTTGTTGGCTCTGGGTTGGCCTCGGCGCTCTTTAACTCGCCAAAGCAGATCAGGGCTTCACGTGTACCTAATGAAGTGGCCTTATGTGGCGTTTGAAGCTCGTGCTGCCTCCCTGACTGCAGCGTGTGGATAGTGACCGCCCTCTCTCTGTCCTCTCTCTGTCTCTCTGCATTAACCTATAATTGGGAGTAGCTCAGACGTGCCACGGTGCATGACCCTCACACAGGCAAACTGACCACGGCCCATTACCGAGTCTCCAAGAGGTAAGAGCAGGACGTCACTCGCTTCAGGCCCGGGCGGAGCGCAGGCTGTTCGTAACGATGGACGCCGCACGTGCAGCGCTCCGGGCGGCTTTGTCACAAGCGACCAATCACAAGCCGACTTGTAAAGCCGCGTGTGAACTCCTGGATCCATCAGTGAGCGTGCGAGTTTTTTTCCTCCGCAGTAAATTTGTGACTTCGCTTCAGCTTTTATTGAAGTCACGATATAAATGTTTTTGGGGCGTCCATCTTTATTTACAGCCTGTGGTCACCACCGTCTCGGGGGCGGAGTCTCCTCCTTCATGCTTTTCTAACGTTCAGCTGGCTGTAATGACACAAACGTCAGCGGTGAAGCTCTGTAAATGTCGTTTTTTTCATAGAGGAGCTGCTTTAGAAACTGTCTGTTGTTTCCCCGCCCTCCTCGTTGCCGTCTCCTCGCCGTGCGCCGGTTTGTGCTGTTTTCGTGACCTCGGCGGTGACTCTGTGTCTTCTCTGTCCTCTCAGCGCCTGGCTCGGAGCGTACGAGCATCCCGTGGTGGACAAAATCAACCAGCTGATCGAGGACGTCACAGGGCTGAACGTTAAGACGGCCGAGGACCTGCAGGTAACGCCTCACCTGAGTTCAAACGCCGCTAACCGTCTGGCGCCTCTGATGTTTTAAGCGCTGTGTTTGATGCAGGTGGCTAACTACGGCCTGGGGGGACAGTACGAGCCGCACTTCGACTTCGGACGGGTAAATAAAACCAGATGCATGAGAATCTGTTTCTGTCAGCATTTTATTTCTGCTGAAAGACGGAAGACGATCAATAACAGATATGGATCCATGTTGGACACATTTCATTAAAATCAACTAAAGAAATAGATCCAATCTGTGTATTTGTATTGTAGATTTATTTATTTGTAACTTTTAACAAAGTTCCGTTTTTTGAAATGAGTGAATGAATTTTCATTACTCTGACCGCCGTGCACTTCCTGTTTCAGAAAGACGAACCGGACGCATTCGAGGAGCTGGGCACGGGGAACCGGATCGCCACGTGGCTGCTTTACGTCAGTGCTGCTGTGTGTGTGTGTGTGTGTGTGTGTGTGTGTGTGTGTGTGTGTGTGTGTGTGTGTGTGTGTGTGTGTGTGTGACTGCGACTGCAGTCATACTCCTTCCCGC